TTATTAATGCATTCATTCACTGTCATGTACAACATGTCTATTACCATATACTACTTATATTCAATGCCCATATATACTCAACACTCATTGTAATGTTCACTGCTGATATTCAATGCTCATATTTAATGCCCACAAACCCTAAATTCGATATTTAAAATAGGAAAGTAAAAATTAAATGAGATGGTGGGCCTAGCAGATCCAAAAGTAGCGGATTCATTCTGCACACATTTGAAAAAAATCCAAACCTAATTAATTTTAATTTTAATAGAAGCATTCATCTACGGAAGGCGGCAACTGGCGAGTTGGAGTGTTCATCAATTTCACCCCATGGAGGCGGACGTACAATCGTGCGTCTAGACGGAGGCGGCATGTTGGATCCGGAGTGCAGCTATGCAGATCGATAGTGGCGGCGGCTGGTTGGGGACGAAGGGCAGAACCGCGGAGGCTGGTTGGGGATGAAGGGCGGCGCACAGATCTTAAGGCAGCGGCGGCGCAGAGAGCTTGAGAGGTGGCGACACACATGGTTCTCCAGCCATCTCTACTGGACAGAGGTGAGGCCACTGGCAACCTCCGAGCCAACCATCGTGCGTGACTCCTGAGCGGCGAGCAGGCGGTCGCGCAGCGGGGAAAGTGGTGGCAGAGGTCGTACGGTGGTCGTGGGAGGGAGGGTGTGCCGCTGGAAGTCAGAGCTTAGGGTTGGAAAAAATGAGTAGAACATTAGGGTTTTATAGACATGTTCTAAAGGGTATATTAGTCCATGAATTTAATTTATTTATTTATTAATTACAAAATCAAATAAATATTAGAAATTTGAATATTATTTTGGGAATAAAACTAGTTAGGTCATAGATTGAGAAACTCAGGTAGTTTTAGTCACACCCCAGATAATTTTCTCTAAATGCTATTATAAGGCACCATAATTAATTAATTAATATACTATATTCGAATGAGAATCTACGATATTAAAATGAATGTTTTCATAGAAGATGACATGTGGCAAAACTTTCATAATTGTATCTTTGAAATGTATTATCTATAGATTATTATTATTTATTATCATACCTTTATTTAATTAATAAATGGTATTGATTATAGTTGGACTAGAACTCATTCACTAGGAAGACTTTCATTGTGATTGGGAAACTAATTTAGAACTAGTATAAATACATCCTCCTCCTTCATAATTGGAGACCAATTTTCTAGATTCAATATTACCGGTTTATTTCCCTGTGAAGAGATTTTCTAGCCTTTCTGTATGTGAGATCTAACCGTTCTTTTGAAAAGGAGAAATCACGTGGATACCTAATGTCAAGGATTATCATCGCTAGGCTGGAAGATCTGTAAGTTCTAACTCAGATCTGTTATTATTGTTATATTTGTTGTTTTGTTACAATCAGGGAAGATCTGTTTGGGAAAATTTTAAACTTTCGCTGCAGTACTTTTGAGTTACTTACATTTCCTAACACTGCCGCCAAAGGCACATTCCAAACTTTTCTCAGACATACATTACTCTCAATACCTTCACGGGCTCGCCATCCTCTGCCCCACCATCTACAAAAAGCTCAGCCGGCATGTTAGGCGGTGCTCTCGTTACCCAATAACATGATTGCTTTTAGAGACTAATACTTGAACAAAATAGCTCTATGTCGCCTGTGCACTGGTCACTATACCTTCTGCTTGGTCATATCCTCATCTAACCACGGCCATACCCACTCAACTCCCGTTAGGAGTCAATCACCTATTACCGAGTGCACTCCTCCCCTTCCCATAACCAAAATATGCAGGGTTTCTCTCTAATTCAATGACTGGAGTGAGTATTGATAGGCAGAACTAGTTAACATGGCCTAGAATTCCACATATGGAGCAAAAATTTGCCAGCCTTCCATATAAAAACTTTGCCCAAAACCAATTTTCCTTCTTACATAATCTTTATCCTCCTTTCCATTGCATTCTTAATACTAATGGCCACTCAGAATCAGGGACGGATCCAGGATTTTGAGTCAAGGGGGCGAATTTTTTCGTTAGCCTAGGAGTGAAATTTTCCGTTAGTGTGCTGGGGCGAATTTTTTTCACTAGTGTACTGGAACGAAATTTTTTCTCTACTGTAGGGCTCTGCTGCTATTTTTTATTCAACTCTTTTTATTAATATATACACGACAACATTCAAATCTATTAATTTCTATATTTAGACAATAGAAAAATAACTTTGATTTTATTATTGAAGTGTTCTAGAAGAAAGTATTGATACATTAAAGCGTATGAAATGACAATTCAAAGGAAAATTATTTGAAAATACAAAAAAGACATATAATATTTTATCAAATTATTTGAATATAAAAAGTTTAAAGCATATACATCCACCAATACTTTTTAAATAACTTCTTCTTTGTTTAATCACATGAATATTTTCGGAATAAATGATTGATTTTTGAGCTGCAATTTTTGTCTACCCAAGAGGGTATTTATGAGTCACGAGAAGTTTTCTTAATATTACAATAATATGTATGAGATTATTATTTTTAGAATAATATTATATTGTAGATTCATATATATGGTGCATATTATATTTGTGTAATTTAATGTTAAATGTTATCAACAAAAATTTAAATTTTTTTATTCAATTCACATGATTTAAAAATTGTTTAACTATTTGTTTGATAATTAATCATTACAAAACTAGGATTTTTTATATAATAAGTATCATAAGTCTTGAACAATGAGTTGTTCTATTCTTTATTTGTTTAAGTTATGTAATTAAATTATTCTAGATGCTATATAAAATTTTGAAAACTAAAAGTTAAGGGGAGCGAACACATATATATCTAATTAAATCATAAAAAATTAACGAAAATATTAATATATAATAAAAAAATTTGAAAGTCCAAGGGGCGGTCGACCCCGCGCCCCCTTAAATCCATCCCTGCTCAGAATTACCAAAGCGCAATCTTTTTGGTCATGAATCTCAGGGGTAAATTAGCCAAAAAAATCAGCATGATCTCTTCAAGTGGTTTGCCATTCCGCCAAATGCGTCGCGTTACTACCAACTTTTATTCAAAAGATCACAACTCTTTCTGAATTACCTGATTAGTGTCTCCCTCATTATAGAGTTGGATCAATAATTTTGTGATCCACAGGGGCGGATCCAGGATTTAATGTTAGGCTGGGCTGAAAATTTTAATTGATAATACATTGATTTTTTTTTCAAAATAAGCGAAAAATCAAATATAAAAGGTATCCCCTAAATTTGTTCTAGACAAGGCTTTGAAACAAAAAACTCATCAACAATAGAGTCTACATCTATACTGAGAGTAATATCTTTTTCAATGTAAAGTGTCATGCAATCAGCAAGAAAACTATCATCCATTTTATTGCAGAGTGTTGCCTTTAGAAGTTTCACGACAGAAACTGATCATTCTATCTACTGTTGCAGTAGAAACAATAAGACCAATACGAAGTGAATCAATCTAGTCATCTTAACATATGAATCACACCTTTTGCTTTTAGTTAATTCCTCACATAATTTAACAAGTGTAGATACTTGAAACTTGATATCATGAATCACATCATGAACATAGTGTTGCAGCTCGAATTTCAAAGCACGAATGTCCTGACTACTAAACTCTTCGGGATAAAACTTCCTTACAAGAGTACAAATAGCATGGACATTGAACGACTCATATGAATTTTTTGGATCAAATGAAACACTCAAAGAAAGGAGTTCCACTAATTTATCATTAAACCGGGTCGTTAACTCCATGAATAAAAGTATATTACCTCATTGAAAACATCAAAGTAATAATGATTCTCAATTGTAGTTTCTTTTCAGCAATGACCAACCATATATTTAGAAATTAGAATTAGTCTGGTGCATATATGAATTTATTTTTTGAGAAAAACTCATTCACTTCTTCAAGAAAACATTTCCATCTATGAGTTTTGCTAGGTGTGCACAAAATGTGTACACAAAATGTGTACACATGTCGGTCCTTCATAGAAATTTTGTCCCAAGCATGAAAAATGTCTATATACACTACAAACTAAAGTAAATCGAACACAAATTCAAAACATGAAAAATGTCTATATACACTACAAACTTTTGCCCAAGAACTCACTTTTGGACAATTAATGTTGTTGAAGATACTCAAACACTTTACAAGTTCATGTGAACATGTTAATCAAGTTCTTAATTGAATCATATTTTATTGTATTTATTACATTGATGCTTTGTGGGCTTTATGGCCATTATACGTATAAATTAAGTGCCACTTATTAAGTGGGAGGTGATGTGTATAACATTTATATTAGATTTTTATATGGTAAGATTTTGTTTTATAGACTAGGCTGAAAAATTGGACTGGGCTATACAAAAACCCGGGGTGGGCTAGATGGAATTATGTCAAAATAATACCTTAAAAAAATATTTTTTTTTGCTTTGCCCTGGGCTTCAGCCCACCATAGCCCTAACATAGATCCTCCCCTGGTGATCCAGATGTCCTCGATACCGATTCCCTTGATCATTCCTATAGTCTCTCGAAATGCAATAGATTTATATGTCACTATCCAAAGCCACCACCGTGAACCGCGACTCATCCATAGCCTCCTTATTGCTCCACAACACAATCATCTTTTGAAACAAAACTACATGTTTTTGTTTTCGATTAAACATTACATTTCTACTCCTAATATAACCAATTGGCAACTTTTCATGTCTAGCGGGCCTGACGGGAACCGCCGTCCGACCGAGGGCATTTCGGACATTTCCCGGTAGAATTTTTTTATGAAATATTTTAAGCATGTTTTTCATCAAGTCTACTTTATCCATACCAAATTTCAGCTAAAAATTCAATCGGAAAGGCAAACAAATTATTTTTTGAAAAAATACAACGTTGTTTTTATATATTAACTGCACAGTGTTCGTAAATAATTTATTTGGCTGCCTCCTCGTTTGAATTTTAGTATGAATAAATTAGATTTGACGAAGCATATGCTCAAAAATTCAGATTCCACCGGCTAACATCAGCGACGGCGGTTGGCGGTGCTCCAAACACTATAAGGGTATTATTGTCAAGACCCTTCTCCCTATCTTCTTCCTCCACGACGGCGTCTCTGCCTACTCTGCCCCGACGTTCCTCAAATTTCTCCATCATCCGAACAAAACGAAACAACTCCAGCAAATCCCTTCCACAAAAACGAGGACCTAGAGAAAAGACTGGCCGATGCACAGACTGGAAAAAATTTCCAAACCTTATTACTGCCCCTCTAACACTTAATCCAAACATAGTGTAAGTGTTCCGATTAAGTCAATTCAACATTCCCATAAGCCATAGTGGCCTTGCTTCTATTAATCTGTTTGCCCTATTCGAAGAAAAAGAATGCACTTTGAGATCTAGGCTGCCTTTGTGTTTCTTGAATTTACTCATGTTTATTTATTTTTTTGTTTTTCTTTACCAAGGTTTGGTTTTTGTGGTGAATGGAAACCCTGTAAGCTCACTACAGTCCAATACATTGGCTATGGAGAACGATTTTATTCGGTCTGCATCCTTGAGAGCTAGCCGAAGAACTGACCGTAGTAACCACCAATCAAAAGGTTAATAGATTACGGATCGGGTGGTTTATTTATGTGTGTATGCAGAAATTGGGTCTTTGATGTGCTGTACTTGTAATTGATTTAATAATTAACATCGAGTGCAGATGGGGAGGACCAGTTCCTTCTAAGTGGAAAGGCGTATCAAGATTACCAGATGAAGATATTGTGGAAGAAGGGCTTTATTCGACTGCTACTTGTGGCAGGGATTATTTGGATGTTTCTCATCTGCATTGTATTGCTGTTTCATCTCTGGACTTGTCAATCTTCTGCATCTTTCTTTTTAGGTGTATATACGCTTCCTCCCAATTTTTCATACTTATGCTTGTAGTTCAGTTTGCTTACAAGTCATTTACAAAGCAAATGCCGCACTCTAACAGTGTGACTATCAACTATGATCCTTCTGGTGATATGAATCTCTCCTTACTGTTTATTTGGTTATACTTGATTAATTAATGCATTTATGGTTGAGAAGATGTGCAATTGTTGCAGAAATTGAGTGAGAAATATGAGATTTTTTAAGGTTGAGCCAATTATTTTCATTCGCATTACAGTTAAAATTGCAATACTGACCTGTTTAGCTTTGTCATGTGCAGCTCTTTGTAACAGAGACAGCAAGTTTTTTGGGATGTTGAACACAATGGGACTTGTGACACCCCCGCACCGTCAGTCTGAGACTCTGTTCCTCTTTTTTGCATGTTTCTATTTGCTGTGTATTAGGGAATGTTCTTACTAGTTTAAACCTTCTTTTGACCAAATAGGTTGTCCAATTCCGGTGGCAGATGACCCAAATAAAGTAGTTATTCCAAAACTGAGATCTACAGAAAGGTTTGTTCAGAGTCTCTCATATGTTGTAGAAAATGTTACTGTACATAGTGGATCCCGCCCACTTCCTCTATTTGGAGGAAACCAAACTTGGAAGCAAAGAGACCAGAGTTTTATTGTGAAGCCAAAAATGAAAGTAAGGAATTGTTTCTGTCCAATGATCATAACTTTTTCATTTTATACAATTTAATTCTAATGCTTTGGCAGAAGAGAATATGACGAGTGCTTGAATTGAATGCTGATGCCTTTGTTTCATCGCTAAAGTGGAATTTGAATTTTGAGTTTTTGATAGCTTTTTATTGAACACTAATAATTTGCAATGCTGATTAGCATAATTTTCTTTAGCAAATCCAAGAAAATAACTTTCTTTGGCTATTCTTTTCTTTCCCTAGCATTTTCCATGATCTGGACATACACCGAGTGATTGAGAGAGCTGTATAGGATTTGGGCTGTTCTCCATAAAAGTATGCGTATTGCCTTTTCTAGTTTTTCTTTGGTTTTGAGTCTCTGTCCATTCTCTGATGTAACCCAATAATTTATGAGAGTGACATACGTAAATAAAATATACGATATTACTAAACAACTAAAGACAACTGCCGTTTGCATTATGATTTGTGAGTCACAAAGGAAAATTGTTGTTCTTACAGTCTTGATATGCACTTCGAATTTACTTGTCAAAGCAAAGATAACACTAATTTCTTGTATCATGAAATAACTATCCTACTAATTCTACTTGTCAAATGAATTGATTGATGTCCAGTGTTCACATGTAGATATGTCATTCTATGTTTAGGTGCATTGTGGTTTCATGCCAAATGGTGGTGCCGAAATGGCTAAGAAAGATGTCGAATATGTAAAGCAGTGCCGCTTTGTGGTTGCCTCTGGCATTTTTGATGGATATGACACACCTCACCAACCATCCAACATAAGTGAACGCTCTCAAAAGCTTTTTTGCTTTCTTATGACAGTGGATGAAGTGTCTCTTGACTTTATCAAGAAAAATGCCACAGTCAGGGAGGATAATGGTGGTGGGCTGTGGATGGGCATATGGCGTTTGGTTCTACTAAAAAACCAACCTTATGATGAACCTAGGAGAAATGGCAAAGTTCCTAAGATATTAACCCACCGGCTATTCCCTCAAGCACAATACAGCATTTGGATTGATGGTAAAATGGAGCTAATTATTGATCCCTTGCTTTTACTTGAAAGGTACTTCGATTTTATAATACAATTAGTTATACAGTGATGAATCATCTGCATTTACCTATTGCTCCCTTAAAATTAGGATGGAAGAAGATGTTTCAAAAACTGTACACTTAATACTTTAAATTATGTTTGTTAAGTTGCCGAATGGTTGTGACATTCTCCCTTCGAACTTTTTCCCATATTGGCTTGTGAGTGAAAAATGTGTCACTTCTGAGCTAGAGTGCGCTTTAGGATGACTATATTCAAGGAATAAGTGCTCCTTGGAGAAAGAAAAGTATCTTCACTTTCGAAAGAAGCATTTGGCAAGAAAGTGGGAGAAGAGTTCCTCATAGTAAAAAACACTTTTAATGCATATTTAAGGAAGCAAAAGATTTGTGCTTTTAAAAATTAAGTGCGTAGATGACAAAGTACTTGTACTAACTTATCCCAAAGAGGCTCTTAAGTTCTTGTCATTCTCCCACAATTTGTACCTTCTCTCTATTGAGCTACTTGATTAAGGTGTTTGTTTTCGTTGTGTCCTTAGATACTTATGGCGTGGCAAGCATACATTTGCCATTGCTCAGCACAAACATCATCGTAGTATATATGAGGAAGCCGACTCAAACAAACGGAGAAAGCGTTATGCTCGACCACTCATTGATCTTCACATCAAAATATACCGTTATGAAGGAATGGAACCATGGAGCCCAAAGAAAGGCACAGCCAGTGGTAATTGAGTTGCTCTTAGTGTTACTTTTCTAATTGCACTTTTCTGCATATGCAAACTCAGATCTCACCAACAAATGTTACTATGCGATTGTGTAGATGTTCCCGAAGGGGCAATAATTATACGAGAGCACACTGCATTGAATAACTTGTTTAGTTGCTTGTGGTTCAATGAGGTTAACCTATTCACGCCAAGAGATCAGCTAAGCTTCGGTTATGTTGTGTACAGGCTGGGGGGGATGTTCAAAGCATTCATGTTCCCAAACTGTGAATACAACTCCATCTTTATTTTACACCCTCATACCCGTGAACATTCATCTAAAGTTGAATGGGTGAAATCTTTGGATGAGTTTAAGGCAGGTGATACTAGTTTGAAAGAGAGTAGGGGAGGGTTTGGCTTGTGGACCCCTTACCCAGGGAATCTCAAAACAGTTGTATTGCCACCTGTAATCCGAAAATCCAAAGCTGGATGATTCGATAACTATCTCCTGTCTTGTAATTTTTTGAAAGTTAGCCTGGTTTCATAGTTTTTTGCTGAAGGAAAACGGTTGCGATTTTTCGCTAAAATGCATAATTATGCTGTTTACACATTCTTGTAAGAGAATGTCATAATCTTTGTTTTATTTTTGGGTACTAACAATTGTATGCTGTGTATTACACTATTACCATTATCCACTCATTTGTAATTAGGCTATGTAATCAACAATGTAATCAATGTAATGTAATGAGCATTGGGAGCTAATTAGGTCTGGACGTCTAGTGCTGTAGATAGTATAGAAGACTTATTTGTCATCTTTCCAAATATCGAATAAGTTAAGAGTCTTAAGACAGTATTCCATCTTTCTCTGTACAAATACTTGAAGGAGTTGAAGCTTTGTTCTTATCAAGTTATCATCCATTTCTCTTACTTGCTCATGCATCTCATAGGAAATTCATTTTTGGGCGCATAATACTGTCTCTACTAGCTAACCATAAATGAGGATGTGTTACTTCATTTCCCATTTTGTTGCACTTTTAGATTCTTGTTTCTTGTTATGATGATGAACAGGTGATTTACCAAATATTTTTTCATATTTGAATAATTGAATTTGAGTTTTTGCGATTGAATAGAGCTTCTAGAGTAATTTTTTATAATGTACTCCGTACATTTTTAATTACCAAGTCTAATACTAACACACACACACACATATTATTAAAGAGTGATAAGTTGATGGCGGGAAGATTGTATGAGAACTTCAAATTGAGACTAAGAAAAAGAAAGTAGTGAAAATTGGTGGATGAGACTCGAATGACTATTTACCATGTCTTCATAATCAATTTGCCTAATTCATTAGCATTGGGCTCACAAGTCACAATGGTGTAGATGGTTTAATATTATTAGATTTATAAGTATAATAAAATTAGCAATAATTGTTAAGGGAGGTGAGCATAACCTTTGAAATTGTGTCTCCCACAACTTACACTGTTTGTCCCCAACTTACATTGGTGAACTTTTAAACAACAATGTTACCTATGGATGTCAAAAAAAAAACGACCCGCAATGACCCGCCCTGGCCCGAGACATTTGGGGCGGGTCCGGCCCGCCCCGTCTTGCAAATGGGGCGGTCCGCCCCGCCCTGCCTATACAATGGGGCGGGTCCGGGTATTAGTATTGACCCGTGCCGCGGTGCCGCCCCGCTCAATATATAAGTATACATACTTTTTCTTAAATTATTCTACAAATATACTTCAACATACATATGTGTTTATACAATAATTATAAAATTCTTTGATCTTATAATACTTCTATATATATATATATATAGGAAATCTTTCCGGTAAGGTATATCTTACCGGAGCCGTTGTGCGGCCTCCACGTTTTGAGGGCCTTCCCGGTGGAATTTTTCGATGAAATTTTTTGAGCATGTTCGTCATCAAGTCTAGTACATCCATACCAAATTTCAGCAAAAACATCAATCGGGAAGGCAGCCAAACGATTTTTGGAAGATAACTGCGTTTTATATGTATATAAAGGGTGCAGTTATCTTCCAAAAATCATTTGACTGTCTTCCCGATTGAATTTTTTTCTTAAATTTGGTATGGATGTACTAGACTTGATGAAGAACATGCTCAAAAAATTTCATCGAAAAATTCCACCGGAAAGGCCCTCAAAATGTGGAGGCCGCACGGAGGCTCCGGTAAGGTATACCTTACCAGAAGAGTTCCCATATATATATATATAGGACTTTTCATGTCCAGCCGGCCTGACGGGAACCGCCGTCCAGCCGAGGGCATTTCTGGCACTTCCCGGTGGAATTTTTTGATGAAATTTTTTGAGCATGTTCTTCATGAAGTCTAGTTTATCCATACCAAATTTCAGCTAAAAATTCAATTGGGAAGACACTCAAATAATTTCTTGAAGTTAACTGGGCAGTTCATACATATAAACTGCCCAGTTAACTTCACAAAATTATTTGAATGCCTTCCTGATCGAATTTTGAGTTGAAATTTGGTATGGATAAACTAGACTTCATGAAGAACATGCTCAAAACATTTCATCAAAAAATTCCACCGGGAAGTGCCCGAAATGCCCTCGGCCGGACGGAGCATCCCGTCAGGCCGGCCGGACAAGAACGGCACTCTATATATATATATATATATATATATATATATATATATATATATATATATATATTGAATGAGATGAACGACGGATTATCAATGTCTTCTTTATATATATAGCATTTTAATACATATATTCAATTATTAATACAATTGAGTAGATTAACTATTCAAGTCTGAGTAATTTTTCCTTCCTTTTGAAATTTTTAACATATCATAAATTTGATTTAATATACTCCGTATTAATTTATAATTATTATTTAGAGATTAACTTTATGTAGATTCAATTGGTAACTTCTCAAAAATAAAAATATATACTAGCTAATTAGGTTACGGCGGGGCGGGGCGGACCCGCCTCGCATGGGGCGGGTCATGGGTCAACAAGTTTGGACCCGTGCAGGTCACGGGACGGACGGACCCGCCCCTCCAAACCACAGGGCGGGTCCGGGTCTTGCAGTACCCGCCCCGACCCATTGCCATGCGTAATGTTACAACATCACCTAAACCATTTGGTTTCTCAAGACCGGACATATTTTCAACGCTAGCCTAATGGTTAGGGAAAAAACTATTTTATTGCAAGATCAATCAGAAAGTCAACAATTTTGTGACACAGGATATCTTGAAAACCAAACCCCCGCCTTATGGCGCAGCCCGGCAATCACCAATATCAAACTTGGAAGTGACACTAATAACTTGTAACTCCAGCAATGGGGACGGGAGTTCAACCCAGTGGCAAAGCTATTCG